CTCTCCGCAGGCACCGGCTGCGTTTGGCGACGTGGGCAGCCCCGCGCGCTGCCCGCTCCGAAGGGCCGCCCGAGACGGGAGGCATCAGGCGCTCCAAACGCCAAGAAAAGAATCTATATCGTGATAACGAGACACGCGGTCTATCACGTGGACTATCAGCAGTGCACTTCACAAGATGGGAGCAGCAACGGGACATACCAGTACATCCTTCCTATAATGCATACAGTGCAATCTAGGCATGGAAAGGTTAAGCGCCAAGTCCTTCTCCTCGTGAAGGATGGAATTGGACAGGTGACAATTTAACTGGTTTCCTAGGCAGAAGAAGGAGCCTGATGTGAGAATACTGTCTCACCAAAGCTCTAGACGTGCCATCCTGAGAAAGATCATTGTCTTGCAGCTGCATCCTTACACACGTGCAGCACGACACAGACGTGCTAATATACACTTAGGATTCAGTCATCTCCTGCCCCACAAACACGAGCACAGTAAAAGACCAGGACTCCTAAGTTACAGTTCAAAGTCACTAACTGATAGGGAATAAACTGATTGATAGGGAATACAGGTAAAATCCACCTGGCACAAACAGTCCTACAGCCAGCTTTGTCACCTGTGTCACTTGGGCGTTACGTAAGGACTCAGCGCACACCAGGTTCTGGGGGCTGGAAACCGCATCTGCAGTGACTGCACGTCATGATACATGATTTATAAAGTTTCAGTGGAGCCTGAAAGATTCACTAAGCAAGAAAAGGCACCCTGAAGTCGGGAACGTATCTTGTCAAAGTAAACACTGGAAATCATAATTTAATAAAGGAGGGGGAAAGCACAGAAGAAGGAAGTAACCAGCGCTCTCGTGTTACTGCTTGTAGTCCTAGCACCGAGGTACAGGAATAAGAAAGTTATAGGAACAAGAAAGAAGCTTTTCTAAGTGACAGGTAGACAAGGACTCCAGCATCCCATGCCACAGAATGGGAAGGTCTGCGGGTGAAACGGATCCCATGTCTCCAGCAGCAGGCGGAGCGGAGCCGTGAGCTGCTGATTACCAACCAGCTGCCTCAGGTAACCAGACACTAACGCAACGAAGGAGAAACCAACTTCTCAGCAGGACCTTGAACTGTGTTTTCTTGCTTCATCCTCTCCTTCCCAGATGCTGTCAGCTACTCGACCAGACGGGTCAGGGCAGCACTCGAACCCCGCGGGCAGAGCCTGCACAGGCCCTGCCACGGCTGCACCGCGGCACACGGGAGCTGCACATTCCCGGGGAAGCCTCAGAAAACCTGGGAAACGGCTTCTCCCTTGGAAACGCAGCGCTGTCCCTGTCACGCGGACAGCACCGGGCACTTGGTGTCCTCAAAAGCAGCAGAAATGAGACGTGTGACGGCAGCAACCCCGGGGAACGCGCGCGGCCCAGCCCGGCGTGGGGAGCCGCGCGGCCCGTTGGCTCCTTCCAAACCACGCGAGGCCGCAGAGAGCCCCTCCAAAACAGCCCGTCCAGGCCAGGGTCTGACAGCAAAGCCCTGCGTCAGAGTTTGTAATATGGCAACTGCTTATCTGTAAGTACCCACACAGCGAGAAAATAGAATCTGAGGAGGCTCTTTTATCCAATTGACAAAAGCAAAACCAAATCATAACGGTCTGGAATTAAAATTACAAAAATTCATTCAGGCAATAAGGTAAAATTCTCTAACAAAGAGGACCATTGCTCATTGCAAAAGCTCACAAGACTCTAAATCATAGAAAGGATAATTCTTCCCACTAAGGACATTACCGTGTTAATACTAGATCTTCTGTGGGGCTTGGGGACCCCTGTGGCCATTTTCTTGTCTTAAAATTCTCTCGATCTGGTGGCCCTCACTGCAGAGGCTCCAGCGTCACCCAGGACAGCCCTGGAGGCGCCGGGTGAAGCCGGGAGGCTCCGACCCCCTGCGGCAGGGCCGGCGCCGGGGCTCCGCGGCCCCTTCCCGAGCCCTTCCCGAGCCCTCCAGGGAAGCAGGAGCAGCTCCCCGCGGCGCCGGCGCTGCCGCGGGCTCTGCAGGCCGCCGCTCGGCGACACAAACCAGGTCCCGACGCCGCTTTGTTGGGCTCCACCAGGACTGGAGATGGCCCAGAGCTGCGCCTGTCTCCTGCTGCGGACTGCTGAGTCCGGCCGGGAATCGCTCCCTGCTCCGGGCACGTCCCAGAGCCGGCTCCGACTCCTGCAGCGTCGCTCAAACGCACGTCAGGACGCCGGCTCCTAAGGATCTGCAAATGCTGCTTTACTCCAGCAGGTGACTTACTACTAGACAAGCTTAAATGAATAATACTACCGGTTATTTCTAGCAGAGTAAACTGTTAATTGTCCCAGTTACTGCACTGGAAACACATTTAATGGGTGAAAAATAAAGCAATA